TACATAATTTTCATTTGCTCGCTATTGTACAGCGCTGAGCAAACCCTTTGGCGCTATATAAATACTGTATAATAATAATAATAATAATTTGCTGGTAAAACCTTTGACATATTCTGAATTTAGTTTAAAACAGCAGTGTCCCCTGGATATTTCAAAGATACCGCCTGAGGGCACAAGCGCCACTTGTTAAATAGCCATAATATAATGAGCAAAATGAATTCAACTTCCAAAGAAAATTCCCAGGAAGTGTTATACTATTTGCAGCACACCCTTGGGTGATGCTTGGCTAGATATATAGGTTCAGCTCCCACCTGAATCTGGTGACACCTCCGATTATACCCAGAACACTTCGACACTCTGGAATATTTTTTATGGGTTTTATTGAAGAAGACAAACCCGGAAAAAGAACTAGCTGATTTAACACAGGTAATGTACATAAAACACAGATACCACTTTGCATAACACAGTAAGAAGTCACAATTCACTCGCCAAAGACTCCAAAACTGACTAGTATCACATGAGAGTGACATTGACACATGAAACAATAACTGTTAATGAGGTTTAGCAGCTTATTGACATTTGCAATAGCAGTACTATCTAGAGCAGAAATATCCTACCTAACCATTGGCCAGTAGGATGAAACTTAAAGTCTCTCAACGTTGGGGCCCTTTAATCAATGGAAGAGCGCTCACTCTCTGCATGAGAGAGTATTTGTAATCCAAAGGTAGCAGGATAGCACAGTCTCCTTTAAGCAGAATCTTCCAGTGAACATTGCAATAGAAAGAAACAACACTTCAACAAAATCTTTACCATACAGGTGAAATCCTGATATATTGACACTTGCTCAGTATATTCAAAGCAGCAAGCTTCTGTGGGGACTTGGAACTAAACATACTCTTCAGCCACAGCACAAGTCTTGAGGAGACAATCACCAGTAATATACAGAGACAGTCAGCAATCAGCAGCAGGAATAGCTAATTCTGAGCAGCTTGGGCTTTCCAAGATCTGTGTCACTCTGAGAATTAGAGAGCAGGCTTTCTCATGACCATTCTATAGAGATGAACAGCAAATGTAGCAATATCAAAGTCCCCTTTCATCACAGAGTACTCACTGTTTCAGGATTGTCCTCTAGATAGCATTAGACAGTAGTAGAAATCCTCTCTCTTTCAGCAGCTCCAGGCTTTGAGAGACACATGCACTTGAGTGGCTGTAATCCTGAGTATCAAGCAGGACAATCCTTAATTTGCACACTGTCCTCCTGCAACATTTCCTCTGCTACACACTCTCAGCCCAGCCCATGGGCTCTAGCAGCACAGAGAGTGAGACTCTGTGACTTTACACCAGGAGCCCTTGCTCCATGTGGTCCCCTGAAAATGTCTCCTTCCCCACATGTGCTTCTTCTTCCTTTTTCCTCTCTTCTTTCCTCCACAGCCAATCATAAGTTCAGCTGCAACAGTGCTGCTATGGGTGGATCCTTCTCAGCTGTAGCAACAAAGCACAGTCCTGCTTTTCCTGTCTGTCACTCACAAAGAGGGAAAAGAAAAAAAAAATGCTTTGCAACTGCTGTTTAAGATTTAAAGCAACCAGCACATCTCTACATATACATAGTTAAAGTTTACACAGAAGTAATGTGTGTTTTAGCTTCAGTGTGGCTTTGATTATGATCACAGACTGACAACAGCAATTTGTAGTTATTATTTCCCGCATAGTATAGTCTGTAAGGACATAAAAAATGATATAATTGATTTTACTAGATTTTTGACATATGTATTTGTGGGGTAACTAAATTGCAAACATATTTCTCGTAAAGCACAGAAACTGCCAGTTCTTAGCTTGTATGGGTTTTACAGAGGTTCCTACTATGGAGGTAAGAGAATTGATGCCATAGCCAGTTTTTTTTCTAGTCCTATCAGTCAAGTGCTGACATCAGTTAGCATGCCCCGTATTTCTTGTGCCAAATACGCTTATGGAAAAGGAAGTTGATTTGAACATTATTCTTTTAGCACCGGAGAGTTCTACAATAATAACCCTTTGAAGCTCAGTGTGTTAGCAGGTTGAACAGGTTGCCCAATAAGTTGCCCAATAGGGGCTCCTGGGGAACCAACAGCTAATAAAGTGTTACTAAACCCACAACAGTAAAATCAGTCTGTATATGCAGTAAAGCATGCTTGTTATACTCACTGTGGAACCTAAGGGGTTAATCATCCTCATTGTTTAAAAATGCTGTTTGATCCTGACTTCTCTGATACTCCCTTTCTTCCAGTGCCACCCTCTTATATCCTGATATGACATATTGTGTGGAGACACATGCTCCGTTTAGTGTGTATTGCTATAGAGGGTTTTTTTTTTCCTTGGGAGTGCATGTGATCAGCACAGGGCCAATCAGCACTGTCCAGACAGAGGTCAGGGGTCTTGCATCCTCCTAGAGCAGAAAGAAAATTCCACCTACAAGCTTTAACCAGTGCATGGCTGGACACTGATAGAAGTCACAAGACTGCTATATACTGCTGATGAGAAAAGGTATTTAGCAGTTTATATTTACTAAAATAATAGCATTTCCATGCTCTGTGTATTGTGAGAGACCAGATATAGTGAATGCAGTCCTGGGTTTAGTAACACTGTAACTGTTTACATCACGGGTGTCCAACCTTTTGACTTTCCTTGGCCACATTAGAAGAAGAGGAATTGTCTTGGCCCACACATAAAATACACTAACAATAAGGATAACTGATGAGAAGACAAAATTGGGCAGACCACAAATTAACAATCACAGATATAGATAATGTACCTATCTGAGTATTTAAATGTATTTATTTTTTGTAATGTTTGTTATTCTAAAAGTAAAAAAAGGGGAACATAAAACAAGTACGTTATTTTGACACTGTTTTTGATAAATAAATGCATCAATATCTGGTTCAGTGGATGTAGTAGCAAGTCTCATTTAATTCTCAAGGTACTCTTCAGATATTTTGGTTCTAATTTTGCCCTTCATGTGCTTCATCCATGAAAATAATTGCTCACAAGTATAGGTGCTGCTGAACACTGATGACGTGAATAATGCATGATTGTGAAGAGTGGGAGATTTTTCTTTGGGAAGATAAAACTTATAAAAGTCCAGTAAACAGACACTGTCAAATTTTTCTTCGACTTCATGTGTTCGCTAAGTTTAAACACATGTTTTTTTAAGTTTTAAAATGTCTGCTGAGTAGCTTGAGAATTAATTGAGACTTGCTACTACATCCACTGAACCAGATATTGATGCATTCATTTATCAAAAACAGTGTCAAAATATCGTACTTGTTTAAAGCAAAATTTTTAAGTATGTTTACAATTTTGTGTTGGGTCACATTCATGGCCGTCTTAGGCCACAGGTTGGACAAGCTTGGTTTACGCTCACTTCTTGTGTGGACTGTGACACTCTCAGACCATATAACATGTACAAGTTCCACATATACAGATGGGTCATGTCTTCTTCTCAGCTGACAAGATGGTCTATTCCTACTTGTCTCAGATACTAGACTATGAAGTCATTTTGAGGAAGTAGCCAAGAACACCAGATTGATTCCTCCAGTTCTTCCTGGCACAGCACACTGTTCTCTTGGCCAGCCCAGGGACACAGAGAGAAGCCACCTTACTTCATCTTGCAAAGCCTTGCACACCGTGGCCACAGACTTGGTCCCTATCTCCTTCAAGATAAAGCCCCTTCTGCTTAGTGAGGTGCATGAAGTACCAAGCTACCCCTCACTGACAAACCTTTGTCACCTGCCAACACAAGTGCCACCTCTCCCAAGCTGACTTCTCCTTCTGCCAGTTCTCTTCTCCATAACCTCAAGAGTTAACCAGGGCATACACTTAAAATTCATAACTGCAAGGGTTAAAAGAGAAGTGAGGGATCCAAAACAAACATTTAAACTCACCTAGATGGCAGCAGCATTGATCCAAGCTGCAGCTGCCCCCTCCAGCTCTACACCAAGAACTGAGCGATCAAAGGCCGCTGATCTCTCAGTTTTCGGGTCCACTCTGAGCACAGAGCAGTTACTGTCAGTCACTAGTTCTCTGTTTTGCCTCCCCAGCAATCATGCAGCACTGCACAGGGGAGGAGGCAGAATACATTTTGGCCTGAATATATTATGATTTTTTGATTTTTATTTATTATGTTTTATAGTAAGTAAAAGTAAAAAAAAAATTTTTTTTTTAATTCGGTCTTTTATTGTATATATAATAAAAAATAAAAAACTCAGTGGTGATCAAATACCCTTAAAAGAAAGGTCTATTTGTGTGAAAAAAAATTATATAAATTTCATTTGGGTACAGTGTTGCATGACCACGCAATTATCAATAGTAGCACAGTGCTAAATAGCAAAGAATGGCCTGGTCATCAAGGGGGTAAAATCTTTTGGAAGTGAAGTGGTTAAAATAGACACAGCTATTATGGTGGGTTTGTTGTGCGTAGGGCAGCCTGTGAATGGGAATGTGCTGCCTTATGTGTGTTATGCGAAAACACGGCAAAAAAAAGGCGCAGGAATGCAGGTTGCTGCTGCGCTAAGTGTGACTGGGGGCCTGATGTCTTCTTAAAGAGGACCTGTCACCTGCCCAATGGTAGCCGACTTGTGATAGCTTATTAGAATGATCAAAATAATAAAACTGATTAGTATATATGTTAGAATAAAAAATGTTTTAAAAATGTAATGAAATAAAATGTAAAAAATGAAAAGTAACCCCATTAGCCCTGCAACACCTCTGAAGGCAAACTCGCGCACAAGATGCGCACATGTAAGGAAACGGCGATTGCACCACACGTTATGTATCACCAAAACCACCCAAGTGAGGACAATCATTGCAGATCCCTCGCTTAGGATTTAGTCCGCACTGACGAGCTAGAAAGGCGCTTTAAATGTTGCCTGTTGATAATTGTAGGTGCTGGAACCTGGATTTTTCTGGGAGGGCACACAGTCTTGAGCCGCGACACATCTGGAATCTCTTTCCACTCCCGCGTCAATGGGGAGGACATTGTGTACAATCAGGGGAAACTTGGGCACTGCCTGAGGGCCTGGGGTCAGTAAGGGGCCCCATGAGATGCCCCTGGTACCTTTCATAGGCTTTTTTGGGTGTGGTTTGAGTGTGGGCGTGGACACAGGAGCCCCATGATCCTCTATTGCCCCGGGGGCCCTATAGATTGTCAGTCTGCCCAACTCATGGGGCCCCCCGGGCAATAGGGGATCATGGGGCCCCTGTGTCCTTGCCCAAACTCAAAAAAGCCTATGAAAAAGGTACCAGGGGCATCTCATGGGGTCCCCTACTGACCCGGGCCCTCGGGCAGTGCCCGAGTTTGCAAATGATCAGTCCGCCCCTGTGTACAATATAACAGATACATCTTTTTTCAGGAGGAGGGGGGAGGTAGTCATTTTATAGTCAAAATGTAAAAAACGTGCACAAAAAATGAAACATTGCTGTAGAAGGGAAAGGGTTACAACAAGTCATCAACTTCGGCCAGCTGATCCATTCTCGGCACATCCACCGAGCTCCACATCTCCGTGTGGATTACTAGTCACAGCAGCCTGCCCAGCCACAAGACAGGCGGGGTCAGACGGGAGAGGCGGGGCTCTAGAGGGCTTCATCTTATCAGAGAGTGCGGGGGGTGCGGCTACAGAGAGCGCTCCGGGATTGGTGGACGGGAGAATACACTGAGCGGGACAGTGGGGCAGAGCAGAGTGGCTGCACTTGTCTTTCCACTGGCAGGGAGGAGGAGTAACAAAAGGGAAAGGGGAGGGGTTACAGGATGAGGTAAATCATTGGATATTGCTTGATAGGAGGGGCTATGTGGGGGAGAGGAGGTGTTACTGCTTGATAGGAGGGGCTATGTGGGGAGAGGAGGTGTTACTTAGGAGGACTGCTTGATAGGAGGAGCTATATGGGGGAGAGGCGGTGATACGAAGATGGGATGGATTATACAGAAAGAAGGAAGGGCTTATACAGAACAGAGAAAAATTGTTACTGGCAGAGAGGCGGGGTTATACGGGGGGCGAGAAGTTACTAGTAGGGAGGCTGGGCTCTAAGACTGAGAGTCAAGGCTACAAAAGAGGGCTTTACACGGCGAGGGGAGGGATTTCATTGAAAGGAGGAGGTGTTATGCGGTAAGGGGCGTGATTACTTTGAAAGGGGTAGGTTTATGCGGCGGGGTTATAATAAAAGAGGAGGGGTTACGGCGGGCTATACCGGTAGAAAGGAGGTGCGCTTTCTGAGTTAGGATTAGATGGTATGATGAGAGGCGGGGATTTACTAGGAGCGAGGAGCTGTACTGGGAGAAGGAGAACAGGGAGCTGGGTGGACATATTCTGGGAGAGGGGCGGGGTGGTAGTAGTAATGAAGCTACTTGGAGGGGGCGGTGTCGCGCTGAGAACGGGGCGGGTAGCGGGGTCGCACTATGAGAGGGGCGGGGCGGTTATAATATAGATACCGGAAGAGGGGCGGTGCGCTAGCTGTGTAAATAGTGGGAGAGGGGCGGGGCCGCACTGGGAATGGGGCGGTAGCTGTGTAGTTACTGGGAGCGGGGCGGGGTCGCATTGGGAGAGGGGCGGAGCGGTTGTAATATAGATACCGGGAGAGGGGAGGTGCGCTAGCTGTGTAGATAGTGGGGAGAAGGGCGGGGTCGTACTGGGAATGAGGCGGGGCGGTGGCTGTGTAGTTACTGGGAGCGGGGCGGGGTCGCACTAGGAGAGGGGCGGAGCGGTTGTAATGTAGATACAGAGAGAGGGGCGGTGTGCTAGCGATGTAGATAGTTGGAGAGGGGCGGGGGCACACTGGGAATGAGGCGGGGCGGTAGCTGTGTAGTTACTAGGGAGCGGGGCGGGGTCGCATTGGGAGAGGGGCGGAGCGGTTGTAATGTAGATACCGAGAGAGGGGCGGTGTGCTAGCGATGTAGATAGTGGGAGAGGGGCGGGGCGGTAGAGAGGAGTGGTGACAGTGGGAGGTGTGTCCAGCAGCCACTGCCCTACTCCGGGGATCTGGGACTCATGGAGCGGCGGCTGCTGGTGCTGGGGATGGAGCCCGGGCTGGTGTGATCGCCGCTGTCATCTGCTCGAACTTCGCGGCTGTGTGTGCGGAGTTGCGGCGTGTGTAGCCGGCGGAGTCCCGGTCCGGTGTGGACGGTGCCCGGTGCTTTTGTTGTGAGAGGTCCGCTCTCTCCCCCGAGTGGGTACCTCTGTGTGCCCCCCTCCTCCGATCATCATGCCGGATCAGATCAGTGTGTCGGAATTCATCACAGAGACCAATGAGGATTACAAGTCCCCCACCACCTCCAACTTCACCACCCGGCTCAGCCAGTGCAGGAGCACCGTCACCTCCATCGAGGAGGTAAGAGGGGGAGGGGAGGGGGCACTCTGAGTGGGGGAGAGGGCAGAGGAGATGGGAGCAGTGATGGTGGGTGACTGTGGGGCTGTCAGTGCCATGGTGGGGGCACACAGATGACACACTGAGGAGGACAGGAGGGGATCACAGAGTGCAGATCCCATACAATGTATGGACATTAGATTGTAAGCTCCTGGAGGGCAGGGAGCTGTGTGATGTACAATGTGTGTAAAGTGCTGTGCAGATCCATAGAGCTAGACAAGTACCTGGAATACATACAAAGTGTGTAGAATGTGTACCCCTGGGGATCACGTCTCCTCTGCACACACTGCTCTCATGGTAAAGTCATACTACATGCTATAAGAAATATGTACAGTGTAGCCGTTCTCGGAGGTGACGTCTGCATTGGTTTCTTTTTTTCCGCCTTTATTCTCACCTGATGTTCTGGCAAGTAAGTCTGCTATTTTTCAACTTCCTTTAACAGGCCAAGCTGTCTAGCAGAAGTGGCAGTTCGGACTCATTTACACTTGCAATTGGAGGAGGATGGAAACCCAGTGGTAGAGCCGTGTTTTTACTGCCCCTCAACCACTCCCCTTTTGCCAGGGCTGTACACACACTGTGCTGCACAGAATTATGTCCCCTGTTGCTCTCAGTGGACGGTACCACCTACGGAGTGTGACCAACTTCAAGTGAATAGGGCCACGCTGCAACCAAGCACAACAACGTAGCCATAGGCACCATTGTCTGGTATTTTGGGGGTTAAAACAGGATGGCAGCTCCTGTCAAATGCTCTGCGAAGAGCGTCCTGAATGCAGGTTGCTCTTCAAAGCGCAAAGCAGGTGTAAATGTAACTTCGAGAGTTCAGACAAGCCATTTACCACTGGCTGGGGTGCCTACAGTGATCAGCTTTTTATTTATGTGAAACCTTTAGCTATTCTTCACACCTGAATGGCACAGGAGCACAATCTGCATTACTATGCAATTTTTTTTTTTTCCAGCCCATTCATTTGAATGAGCTGGAGTTGCACTGGACCACATTAAAAGTAATGCTTGCACCACATTTCAACAACGCACCAGATCACATGGTACTGCTGCGGCACCAGCCAATCAGCTGCAGGTAAACACCCTGCATTTGCAGTGTCATTGGGAATATATTGACACCCGCAGCAGATTGCAGCACCCAGTGCAAGATATGCGCATGGCACACAGAATTCCTACACCACGTTCTGGTGTGAACAAGCTCTTACCCCAAAAGGAAAAACTTTGCTGTAACTGCTTACAAAGTGTTCATTGGTCAGATCCAGTAAGTGAAGTCCATCAAAATCTACCAGTGCATCTAATGGTGACCATACATGGTGAGATCAAACTGAACGATCAATGTCTGATCTGGCAGAATGATCAAGCCAGACCACAATCAAGAAGGTTAATAATGGTATGGCCATTGCGGAGCAATAGACAGCGGCAGTTTCCATCCAGGCAGCGGCAGTTTCCATCCAGGCAGCGGCAGTTTCCATCCAGGCAGCGGCAGTGTTTCCATCCAGGCAGCGGCAGTTTCCATGCAGGCAGCGGCAGTTTCCATCAACCCAAAAAAAAAAAAAAGTCCTGGACCTTTTCCAAAAAACACAGCGGGTGAAAACACGGAGATGTGAACCTGTCCTATAGGAAATCATGTTAAATGGACTGCTGTGCTGTGCAAAATGCAGCGGAAAACGCATAGATGTAAATCTGACTGAGTCCATGGACAGCGTTTCCCACGGTTCACCACAGGAGAAGTGCGCTTCCATGCAATGAACGTAACACCATCAATTGCAACTCGCTGTGCATGTGTATAGAATTATGTTTGCCATTAGATCAATGTTTAGCCTGATTTATGTTGTCCGTTTAGATCACCCACCTTGTTGCACCGTGTGGTCACCATGACCCTACCTCCAGATGGACAATTCTGATGACCAAAGGTTCCTCCATCTGGAGTAGAGGCCCCCTAGAGCTGGCCATACCCTGATCAAAGCCCGGAGCAGCAGAATCCAAGCTTTTATTATGTATAAAGGGGAAGATTCTTCTCTGAGGTGCTGAGTGGTCAGTCATCACTTCTACTCTGTACTTCCATTGTAGAAGAGGAATGAAGGTCTATCTAAAGCCAAAGAATGATATTTTAGATTTGAAGAAGCGGTGAGGGGTTGGGACCCTTATCGGGTTTTTATTGCTGTCTGTGTCCCCGATATAGAGAGAATGTACTGAAAGTGAAGGAGAGACCAACTTTTTGAGATGCCATCAGAACAGGAATAGAGGAGAAATCTTCCAGTGGGGACAACTAACCCTTTTCCTTTCCCTTCAAGAGGTTCATAATGCCAGGAGGCAGAGGCGGGCATTCCGATCATGTGACAGCTATGATTGGCAGTCACAGCATTTACATCAACGGAGGGCTCTCAGTTGCAAGTATGCATGGGGAGATTTCCAGTACCCACCAGTCAGCACTGAAATGTTTACATCTGGGACACATATATGTTAACCACTTCAAGTCCGGACACTTTCACCCCCTTCCAGTCCAGGCCAATTTTCAGCTTTCAGTGCTATCACACTTTGAATGACAATTGCGCGGTCATACAACACCGTACCTATATGACATTTTTAGCATTTTTTTTGGAACAGATAAAACTATTTTGGTGGTATTTATTCACCGCTGGGTTTTTTATTTTTTTTGCTATGTAATTGAAAAAGTCCAAAAATGTTGAAAAGTTTTTTTTTTTTTTTTTTCTTATAAAAGTTTGCAAATCTTTCTTTATAAATCTTTTCCAAAATGTATTCATCTATCTTTTTAATTTAAAAAAAAAAAAAAAAAGCCCAAATTAGTTTATAACAAAAAATGATAATTTTTTCAAAATTATTTTATTTTTATATATTTATTTTTTAACAATGTCACCCTAGTAGTACAGTGTCACCATAGTGACACTCTACTACTTGTGGGGGGCAATGAAGATTTTTTTTTTTTTTCTTTTTTTTTACACTGATTGCTTTTATACCCATAAAGGCTGTAAAAGCAATCATTTCTCTTTTCTCTGGCTGCATTACTGCAGCCATTGAGAAATACTGTTTGAGCTGTGATTGGTCACAGCTTGTCACATGGTTCAAGGTTGTTGTGAATAGCCCTGTACCATGTGATCTCTCTGATCATTCACAGATTTCACAAGTAGTAAGCAATGATGTCAGGAAGTGACATCATTGTTTACTACTGCTCATGTGATCCCTGATTGGCCAATCGGGGATCACATGAATTGGGACCTCAGACAGAGGTCCTGTACAGCAGTGATCTGAGGACACAGCGAGCACCGATCGCAGTGCCGCGCACTCTCGGGGAGCGCGCACAGGCAATGGACGCGGGGGACGTTTAGAGATGTCCACCTGCATCGGCAGCACTCCCATCCGGCTGTTTATCGACATGGGCCGGACGGGGAGAGGTTGCATATGTGCGTACGGCTAACGGGAAGAGGTTAAAGCCCACCCCCCGAGAGGCTGCATATGTGCGTACGGCTGACGGGAAGAGAGTTTAAAGCCCGCCCCCCGAGAGGCTGCATATGTGCCTTCGGCTAACGGGAAGAGGTTAAAGAAGAGGTTGCATAACGACTAACCCGCCCCCCGAGAGGCTGCATATGTGCCTACGGCTAACGGGAAGAGGTTAAAGCCCGCCCCCCGAGAGGTTGCATACGGCTGATGGGAAGAGGTTAAAACCCACCTGCCAAGAGGTTGCATATGTGCGTACGGCTGACTGGAAGAGGTTAAATCCTAACTCCAGGTTTTGTTACTTTACATAGTTTGGAACGATTTTCTTTACTAATAGATACACCCACCCAGGGGCGGACTGACCATTTGAACACTTGGGCACTGCCCGAGGGCCTTGGGTCAGTAGGGGGACCCATGAAATGCCCCTGACACCTTTTTATAGGCTTTTTTGGGTGTGCTTTGAGTGTGGGCAAGGACACGGGCCCCATGATCCCCTATTGCCCGGGGGCCCCATGAGTTGTCAGTCCGCCCCTGCACCCACCATTGGTGCGTCAGCCACATGATCCCTCCAGTATACAGCGCTGTGTTTCGGCAGTGGTACGGGGTCTTCCTGTCTTGTTCCTAGGAGTTCTGCTCGGCCCTTCACAGAAAGCCTTGTACTTTGGTGAACGAATATAAGGCTTCCTCTGATTGGATGAGGTGGAGATCATGATGTCATTCATCCGCCTTTCCACCTTATATTCATTCATAAAATACAAGGCTCCCTGTGAATGGCTACGCTCAGCCTGACTTGATTTTGTTTTGGGAGCTGGACAGGAAGTCTCCATATTGATGCCAGAACACTACACTGTGTATGTATGTAACTGATGACACATACCGGTGATACAGTGCTGATAGCCACTTCATTTCTTAGGGCCCTTCCACACTAGGAACTGCATGAGAATGGCACGGGAATGCTGTGTGGTTCCTGTGCAATTCCCGTGCAGTGCGATTTCAGCTCCATTCATTTTAAGTTTGCTGAAGTGGCACTGCACCGCACCAAAAGTAGTGCATGCACTACTTTTTAAACTGCACAGCAGCTGGATCGCATGGTACTTTTGTGCTTGCAACCTGCGTTTGGGGTGTCGTTAACCTCACACCAACACCCATAGCAGATCTCAAGGGCAGTGTGACTGCAATGTGGTGTGGGAAACCGCACTGGAACGCACCTTTCCTGCACTGCTTTCTAGCTTGAAAAGGGTATTAGTCATGGAAATAGTTAGGTTAGGTTGGCCCATACAAACTATTTATTTATAGTAATACAAAACGTAGAAATAGACTTTGAGACCCAGTTCACATATATGTGAATTGGATGTGTTTTGAACCACATCCGATCCACATGACATGTGAATCAAAATCATTTTCTATGAAGCCCATTCACAGGGCTGGCCACAGTGCGATTTATAAAAAAAAAAAAAAAAATCTCAGCCTTGTTCATGCGCGATTTCCGATGTCATACACTTTAGCAATTCAAACAGGGATCGCTCCGGACTCTTTAACAAATCGCACTGCAAACCAGCCCTGCATCTGTGTGAACCCAGGCTAATTCAGGTGACAGCTGTCTAACGTCCAGTGTGGATTTCCTTTGTACATTGACATGCTAGGTTGGTGTCACACGGCTGCATTTTTGCTTTGCTAAAAAAAGCAACAAAAACGCAATAAAAACATTTCCCTCTTAAATCCTATGGGAATCTTCATACCACTTCTGCTGCGGGCGCAGTGCATTTTGAAAAGTTCTCCATGCTGCATCTTCGTTGCGCTTTCAAAACCGCACTAAAAATGCAGCTCATTCTAGGAGTGAATGGAGACATGTCAAAAACGTACTGTGGTTGCGTTTTTTTTTGTCTCATGTCCATGTTTTACAGGGGCTTGCTGGGGTCAGGCACCCAGGAAACGCATCGGAAATGCTTAAAAAAACTCCATAAAAAATACATGTGTTTTTTTTTTTATGCGTTTTATTCAATGGAGCAGTGTGAAAGCAGCCTTATTGAAGCACGTTGATGCACAATCTAATGTGAATTTGAATGTAGGATTTGGAGTGGATGAGGTTGGCAGCCATTGACCAAGTCATGTTCATACTTGCTGGCAACACATCAAAAAGCATATAGCAGGTGGTTTGATGGCTGCCATTGACTTCTATAGGAATCCCAACGCACATAAACGCATATATAAAAATGTTAATGTGTTATTCTTCAGTGCACACTGCACAGAGATGGAATCGGACACCATTTTTATTATGGGGATCCTGGAAGTGTACATTTTAGTCCCCATGCCCAGTTGATGTTTACCCCCGATGTATGAGGCTCCAGTGTTTAGCAGAGGGCTCAAGTTCCCCTTCCAGCCCCACTGCCTCCAGCCTGTCAAACTCTGAGAGGATGGCAGCTGCTAGGGCTGGACAGTGCACCTACAGTATGGACATTTACACCCCGGTCACATCAAAGCCAATTTTGAAATTGTGCGACTTAGTGAAGTCGCATGATTTCAAAATCGGGTGACCTGCCAATTTCATTGCGATTTGCAAGACATCTCACACAGATGTCTATGCAAATCGCAACAAAAGTAGTGCATGCAGTATTTTAGAAATCGGTGTGGCTCCGACCAAGTAGGAACCGCTCTAATATCGGACAATAGGGTGCGACTTGGCATACGATTTTCAAGTTGCATGGAATGCAAATCGCATGCCAAGTCGCACCTGATGTGACCGGGGGCTTAGGGCAGTATATGTCTAGAATAAAGACTTGATACTTTTTATGCATTTGTCCCTGGGCGCATACCATCCTAAACATTTGTAGCGCTAGGTGCACTGTCCAACCACAGTAGCTGTCACTCTCATAGGGTTTGTCAGGCCACCAGCAATGGGGCTGGACAATGCACCTTTGCCCTCAGCTCACACCTATATACCAGGTGTGCATAGGCTTTTAGCACATTGTAATGCGCATATTATAATGCAACTGCAGAAATGGGACTAATTCTTCAAGATGGTGCCATACCCCATTGCATCACTGGTCTCCATTTCAAAGCAGGCACTCATTTATAGGGGAAATCGGACTTTCAGTCACTCAGCTGGATGTCTCGTCCACCAAGTCACTAATCCCAAGCATAGACAATGAATTTTCCTGCCTGACCTTGTCCTAAATGCCTAGTACCTAAACCATCTGGATCAGCCATTCTCAAAAAAGGTTCCTTCAGCCATTCTCAATAAGGGCTCCTTCCAATGTTGCTAGGGGTTCCTTGATCTGTGGCTTATTGACCTCCAGTTTGATGGTGCCTGCCTATTACCAGGACCAACACCATTCAACGACAGGACACCAGTGATCTTTTTAGCTGCCTGTAAGGGAGGCAGTCTGACCACCTTTGTAAGGTGCATCTTTGCCATGGCCCGCCTATGAATTGGTTTTAGTAAGGGTTCCCCGAGACCTGAAAATTATTTTGGGTTTTCCTTTGGGGTAAAATGGTTGACAAAGGCTGCTCTGGATACTTTCCTTTTACAACATCCTATTCTGTGAATGCTCAATGAACAGATTGTCACCTGGGATGAAGGAAGTGTCTTTATGATGAATGCTTTGTTTTTTTTTTTTTTTTTTTTTTACGTATTCTGTGAATGCTGGTGTTTGTTGCCTTTGACTTCTCAGGCTTGTTTCCCATCTGTGGTGTGAATATCCCTGGCATTGTGAAAAATCTATGGCTTGTTTTTGCTGCTGCATTGAAGAATCTTGTCAGATCCTTTTCTTAAGTGGCTAACGTACCTTTCCACTGCTTCTTTCTTCAGGACTCTGGAAACAAAGACTGCTAGATGTTTGCTGTCTCCTATTGTCCCTGTACTAGGATTGTACTGAGCCATTATAATAGTGAGCTGAAAGAAAAGTTTTTTTGTTTTGTAGCTTCTCATATGAAATTGCAGTCTTTACTTCTTTCCATTCATCCTCCTAGGCAGACACGAACATAATGGCTATTTCCGGATTTACAGTTGTGCTAAAAAGTTTGCATACCCTTGTAGAATTCGTAATATACAGGATGTACCATTTTAGAAGAAAACATGAGTGAGCAGGCAAAATGCATTCCTTGTCTTTCTTATGGCATTCATATTCAACCATAGGTTATAACAGAATGCAAAACGTGGCAACAAGTAAACAGATTAAATGACCCCTGTTCAATCATCTACATACCCTTAGTTCTTAATACTGTGTACTGTTCCCTATAGCATCAATGACAGCCTGCAGTCTTTTGTAATGGTGGTCTATGAGGTTCTGAATTCTTGCAGGTGGTATAGCTGTTCATTCGTCTTGACAAAATGCCTCCGGGTCTTGCAAAGTCTTTGGTCGTCTTGCAGGAACCGCATGTTTGAGATCTCCCCAGAGTGGCTCGATGATATTCAGGTCAGAAGACTGTGATGGTCACTCCAGAACCTTTACCTTTTTCTGTTGTACCCACTGCAGGGTCATTTTGACCTTGTGCTTAGGGTCTGTGTCATGCTGGAAGGTCCATGAGCTTTTCATATGCAGCTTTCGTGCAGAAGAATGCAAATTGTCTGCCAGGATGTTCTGATAATATGCTGCATTCATCTTGCCATTAATTTTAGCAAGATTCCCCATGCTTTTAGAGCTTGCCCAACCCCAAAACATCAGTGAACCACCACCATGCTTCACAGTGGGAATGGTATTCTTGTCACTATTGACTTTTTTTTTACCCCTCTCTAAACAGTGCTTATGGTTGTGATCATCACTCCAGCTTACAGTGTGTCAGAAGCTGTGAGGCGTGTCAAGGTGTTGTCGGGCATATTGTAACCGGACTTTTTTTTTACATCAACGCAGTAAAGGCTTCTTTCTGGAAAATCGACCATGCAGCTCATTTTTGTTCAAGTATTGTCGAATTCTGCTCAATGAAACAGCCACACAGTCTTTTTCCATAGCAGACTGTATTTCTCCTGAGGTTACCTCTCAACTCTTCTGGCAGTTGTGGAAGCAATCTTTCTACGTCTACCTGACCTTGGCTTTGTATCAAAAGATCCTCGAATTTTCCACTTCTTAGTATGTGATTGAACAAAACCAACTGGCATAGTCAAGACTTTGGGTATCTTTTTATATGTCCTTTTCCATCTTTACAAAGTTCCATTACCTTGTTGCACAGGTCTTTTGACAGTTCTTTTTTGCTCCCCATGGCTCAGTATCTATCCTGCTCAGTGCATCCTCATGAGAGCTTACTAGCTCACTGAATATAAAGCCACAGGTATGGGAAATGAACCTTTATTTGGCATTTTAACCCGTGTGTGTCACCTTGTGTGTTATCTTGCATAAGGGCAGATGATTCATGTAGCAATTACTTCCTGGAATCCATCTGCCCTTGGATCAGGCATGCATGCAGGAGGGTGTGCTTAGTAGACAAAAACCCTCCTCTCCTGAAGACTCCTGGGATGTATGATATCATTTGCCTAGGCATGGAAACCTGGAAGTAACTGAAAAAAATAAAAAAAAATCA